TCTGCTGCAATGACCTCAATAGGAGTACTTCTGAGCTTTCCTTTGGTGGTGAAATGCTCTCTCCAAAAACTGAGCATCTCCCCACAGAAAGCTAACCTTAAGCCTGCCTTGAAGATTGCATGATGTTAAAAGAATGGTGTATTAACAGTAACAACAACAACAAGACTCACAGCTAATAATCACTGCCAGAAATTTTTTAAATTGTCTTAGGAGCCCCCTTCCAGTTCTTCTGAAATTTAATATTGCTTTTCCCTCCCTAAGAGGCTTGATGGATAGGGAAATGACAATACAGAAAAAGAAAAGCTCGTTCTTGACACTGCCCAAGGCACCTCACAAACCTGACAGGTTACTCAGCTTCCGCGTGTTCAACTTCATCACCTTTTAAATGGAAGTGAAGAATATCTGTGATGTATTTGGAGAGATTTGCCCTCAAAGCAAAGCAAACATGCAACCGTATCTCCAGTCACCATCACCCCAGGGGCTTTCCCTAGCAGCAGTGTGGTTGCAAAGGCTAGGCAACTCAGTACACCTCTACCACAACACCGCAGTGCATCACAACTACTTTCCATGTGCCACAGTCTCTTTTAAGCTTTCTGTGACAGCTTCCCTGACATCTGCCTTAAGACTGCTAACATGCTTCATAGGCATGGCCATGAAATAGGCAGATTGAGGAGCCTCCCACGTTCCCAACACTTCCCGAGGTCACATTTAGAAGAAAGTTGCTTAGAAGCAGTAAAGACCAGGTCATAGCTTGTAAAATACTTCCTAAGAACAGCTAATGACTCTTACCTATGGGCAGGTGATTTGCAACTACCCATTAATAGAGCCCTCACACAACCTCTGTAGGAGGGATTTGTACGTTCTGTACTTCACATTTTTACGATATATTCTTCAAGAGCAGGAGATGTGGAGCAGATGAAAATGTGGATTACATATAAATTCATGATGGACAAATTAAAAAGAGCCAGTTCCACGTGTTACAGTTCTGTAAATGTTGTATATAAGTACTGCCCCCTACTGCTCAAGGGATTTTCATAAACATGTATTTAATTTTTAAAAGTTTCAACTTTTTAAATTAAAATGTTTGCAAAAGCTCGCCTGTAAGAAAAGGACACGTGGATCTTTTTTCTTAAAACAAAAATCTCAATTTATCGTTTTTTTGCAAGCATAAGACACCTGTGCCCATTCTCTTGCTAATGGGCAAATTATGCTTTCCCAAAGACATTCTTCAGAATAAGCTGCGTGCATCTTCTCAGCCACAAAAGCCATAGAGATAAACACGTTTCCAAGTAATTGCACCTTTCCAAACTGACCTTAAAATCTTTATTCTGAATTATGACTACAGGAATGCAAAGGAATAGGAAGATTTCGAATTGTAGAGACGTGATGGTAACAAGAGTTGGTGTTAATTCCCAAAGTAAGGGCAAAGCAATCAAGCATTCTTCAGTGAACTCTTGTTGATATTATCTGTTCATTTCACAGTACATTTTCTTGGAAATTTTAAGGTGCAAAACATGCTTGTGTGAGAGCAAGGTGGAAAAGATAAAGTAACACCATTGTGGTCAGAGCATTACTGCTGGTGCTCAGGGCTGACACCTTTCTAGGGAGCTGCTGTCGCGCCCTTGTGTGACGTACTCTGAAATATTTGATGTATGTCAGAACTTACATCCAAACAACCTCCTTTTAGAATGTGGTTGTGTTTGTCTCTGTTTTTGTATCAATAGAAATTAAAGAAAAAACTCATAGTTGCACAAAATGTTGTCGATTTAGAAAAAAACGTGCTTTCCTGTTGTGGTATAGAATAGTGTCATCTGCTCTGGCTTGAAAGCAACTCTCTCTTAATACCTCGTTGCAAAAGCAATATTTGGACCTGATTCAGCAGACAATAAAATCCCTCAGTTTCCCTGTAGCTTCTGGAAAGCTGTATTAAGATGTCTGTGCATTTGCCATGGAGGAATATTTTTCTGCTTAAAGACTGCATTACATTGCCAGATTCCAAAGGGGTTTTAATAGACATCAGCATCAGACTATAAATCCTTAGACCAGGTTTGTGAGCTAGGAAATATACTGGTCCTTATTTTACGGACAAGAAAACTGAAGCACAGAGTCTTCAAGCCTTCAAGCAAGTACTTAATTGCTTCTTATTAGAAAGTGGATTTAACATCTGCAAAATCGGGGGCACGCTGAATGTGTTTGTACTTGAAGCGTGTAACAGATCCATCCCACTTTAGAGTCATTAAGCTGTGCCCAGTGCCGTGCACAACGCTGTTGCTGCTATTTGTATGGATAGCGATTCATCTGTTTGTCTTCACAAGTGCTGAGGTGCGTTCTGTTTCTTGGGGTTTTAACCGCACCACAAGACTGAGGTATTTCTAAGGGACTCGAACAATTACCTTCCACAAGGAACTTGAAATTAACTCCCTATCTTTCCCTGGTGGCTTACGCTTATAGAGATGCAAATCGGGCCACTTAGCCAATAGTGAATTTCAAAACAAAACCAACCAATCAGGAGAAAATGAAGCGTTTAAAATGGCCTCAGTGGCAGGTAGGGTCACTTACATCTCGTAAGAGTTTTAGCTGCTTTTGTGGAAGGTGTGAATGCTGCTGAGAGGAGTATAGGCTTGAGGCTTGTGGGGTTGGGAGAGGCTGTTCCTGGTTGTGATTTGTTGTTTGCTTCAGGTAAGCAAAGCTCTTTTGTTGTTTAATAACTTTTCTACTGCTTTTGTTAGAGAGTATAGTTTCTATTAACTGTAGTGTTGCTTTAAAAGTAGGTTATGGAGTAAAGACAAACAGTGTTTAATAGGAGAGTGTTCTCTCTTACTTGTGTTATAGTTACTTCAAGTTTCAGTTGAGAGACCTTTGTAATTAGTTATCTCAGTGCTTTGCAAAGAATCAAATGTCTCTGAACCACAACGTGTTTTCCATACTGAAATACCTTTTCTTCCTCCCTAGTTGTGCTTTAAAAAACAAACAACTTACTTCTCCTGTGAAGTGTTAAAGTGTAGTAACTCCATCCTTTTCTTTCTGTAGCTTTGTTGTGAGGCTTGTTACAGTGCTTGTAACATGCTCTTATAAAGTGGAAATAGCCTATAATAATTCTTGGTCATTTTCTATGTGGAAAAGAATGCTTTTTGTCTTCTGAAAATCAAAACTCTCATTTAGCCTGGGCCCATGATGAGAGCAGCTCTCCAGCTGTGGAGCTGCAGCTGACACCGAGTCTCTGTCACTTCTCTGTGTTTTGAGACCAGAACCTGCTGTGCAGGTTGAAAAACTGTGTGCTTGTAAACTGCTCAGCCAGTGAATTCTGCTGTGTGTTGGTGCTAATGCAGCTTCTTGGTTTGTCTTCCTATGGATTTTTCTTTATATCAGCAGCGTAGTTCTCAGTAACTGCTACAACACTTTAAACAAAAACAGTTTCTAAAACAAGTATGTAGAGTTGTTTTCCTTAAAATTGTCTTCCATGATTATGCTTATAGGGAAAAACCTGATTTCTAATGAACTTCCTTTTCCTTGCTTGTTTCTGTTGAGAAGTGTGAAGCTGAGCAAGCATCCTCTTGGCCTTTAAGATCTCGCTGTGCAATACCTATGATAAACAGCTTTATTAAGTTTCCCTACAGGTCTGGCAACTAAAATGCCCTGTAAGTTTTTTCCCTGTAATGTCCTGCAGTGCATATTTCAGAGGAATAATCCTTTAGAGATGCTGGTGTCCTAAGTGCCTCTTAGGTCTTCTATGACTATGCTTGCTGCAGAGTAAGCTGCTATACTGGTGTGCTTTGTGTAAATGTTTTTTATAGTGTACTCAGTGTGCTGCAGTAGTTAGCTTACAATTTAAACTCTTGGTTTGTATGTCAGCTTTGAAATGATGTATTTCTTTAGGTGTGTAAGTGTATTTACTTTCTAATCTGCATGTGTAGTGCAATGGCTCTGTGTGCTTAAATGCTTGTTTATGACAACCAGAAGTCTCCTTTTCCTTGGGAGGAGCTGAGCTACTGGGTTGGGTAGTGAAAGGATTTTCAGGATGCTTAATTCAAAAAATAACAGTAAATTGTATTTGTCATTTAGTCATATCTGTAGTGACTTCACTCCAAGGGGATTCCTTTAAGTATTAGTTAAATTGGTTAAATTCTTGGCTGTGTAACTGTGTGACCTTTGGAAGTGTATTTGCTGTCCACGTAGCCAGCATTAGAAGCAGTAGCTGAGTTGTCTTAGCTTAATTGTGCAGGGAAGGACTGTTATCTCTAGAAGGATGGGGCTTGGAAGACTTGGAATTCAATAGCTTCGTATTCTGCCTGTGTTACTTCTGTGCAAGAAGTAACACGTCTTACCTTTCCTTGACTGACTCCACCCTCTAGAAACTGGACTTAATTATTTTAGATTGCTTCCTGGAGGATAGTCCATAATAGAGACATTTCTACATGTAATGTTTAATTCTCATAATAAGGCTCTGAGAAATCTGCTCATATCCTGCAGCTGCTGATATCCTGCAGCACTTAGCTGTTAATTGGATATTGAGAGGATGCCTGTTTGAGTGTGGCTGTTCTTGGTTTTATGTGGTCCCTTCTGAAAGGGTTGTTGTGTTTTTACTGTCTTTCTGGGGTGGGCTGCAGTCTTTTTTAATGTTAAAGTCTGAACAAAATGACCGGGGATTAAACAGTCTGAAAGCTGGATTGGCTCAGCAAGAGGCAGTGTAGGTTTTGCCCTCCCCCTCCACTATTGTTCCTGCAAGCATCTCTCCTGTGAATTGGTTGAAGGGATCAGAAAGTGCGAGTCTCTTCCTTTCAGACTTACTAGTGAGGATTCAGCAAAACTTGAGCAGCAAAGTCCAGAAGCACCAGACCTCTGACTGAGCTGCAATTCTGAAACAAGCTCAGCTGTGACCACGAGCATTCCAGAATATGCATGGGGATGAGCTGTGGGGATGTAGAACAAATAACACAGGGTGAGTTCAGCCTGACACCAGGAATCCAGCTGACTGCTCTGGATTCTCATTCCTCTTTCAGGACAAGGACATGGCAGACACAGCACCAGCAGAAGGGACTCATCTCAGAACTACTTGCTGCCAGCTGTTCAATGCCAGCATGAGGGATGAAGCAAGGAGGCTGAGCACTTTCTCACAGTGGCCACGCAGCTCACCAGTGTCTGCCTGGGATTTGGCCAAGGCTGGCTTTTTCTTTGTGGGTCCAGGAGATCAAGTACAGTGCTTCAGCTGTGGTGGCATCCTGAAAGACTGGGAGCCTGGTGATTGCCCAATAGTGGAACACCTGAAGTTCTTCCCTTTCTGTAAATTCATTTATCATGCAGCTGTTTGGAACCAACAGGTTCCTCTTCAGGGAGTGTTTGACAGTGTAGATGGGCAGTTCCTCAGCCTCTTGCAGAGGATAGACAGTGAGGAGACAGCCCTGCCCAACCAACCAGAATACCCAGAAATGGTAACAGAGGAGATGAGACTATCAACATTTCAGAACTGGCCACAGTATACTGAGATGCATCCTGAGCAACTGGCTAAAGCAGGTTTTTTCTACACAGGTAGGAACACCCGGTAAAATTTTTTTTTTTTTTTTTTTTTCTTTCTCTCTGTGTAATGCTGTGAAACTACATTCATAAAATTCCTGTATGGGGAATTCACAGTTGAATTTTGATTTACCGTGCCAAATGTTGGAAGAATTGTCACTTCTTAGCAAGAGCTAGAAAGGGAGAGGAGCTGAGGTAAGCTCAGTTTAGCTGGACTGTTTAGCTGGACTGCTCTAGAATGCAAATAATGAAGTCACTGGAGGGTCTGTGAACAGTATTTAATGGTGTAGTGTGAGTGTTACAGGTCAACAGAGAAAAATGTGTCACAAAAATGTGTTTGAAGGCTCTGGAGTAAATGTGGTCCCTTGTAAAGCAGGATCAGGTGTGTTTGTTTTGCTCTTACATTGTGCCTTCATAAAGGCAAATGTGTTGCAAGGGTACTTTCTACTACTGTCTTGGTTCAGATTCAGTATCCCGTAGTAACTTAAAATGGTGGTTGGTGTTGCTCTTTTAGGTGCTGCTTGTGACTTCATGCTGAAATATTTTTTAACACTTTGGTGGTGAGTCTCTTCTGGCTCTGTTCTGATGGTACGAGTGTATGTAAACCAGCTGATATATTCTTATACCAGCTTGTAGCTACCTAGGCATCAAAGAAAGCTTACTGAGTTTGCAGCTTTTTTCCTAGCTCAAGCACTACTTTAAAAATTGCTGCATTTTCTTAGCTCTTACTCAAGTCAACTTTTGAAGATATCACTGTGTATTCATGTTCTTGCTTGTGCAAATACTTGCAAGTGCATCTGCTATGGTTATAAACCACATCCTTCTGTGTATGCTGTCTGTCTTACCACTCGGGCAGAATTCCCTTCTGTGCTGGTATCTGGTTTGGATGCTGATGAGTCCACTAAGCCTTTTCTTACTAGCAGGAATGAAAAGGCAGTAAGTTTTAAACCAGTTTTACCAGAATGAGAGTGTGTGCTTAAAGATTCAGCAAACCTATTTGTTATCTGTGCTTTTAGAAGAACCCAAGGCACTTCTTGATATGCTGTGCTTCATAAGCTCTGTCTTGCACTCCAGCCTTCTCAAAAATAAAAAATACAAACTTGAATAAGACTTGTAAGTTGGCAAATTTGGCTGTCACTGTGGTTTGTTGCCATAAGGACTCATATTACCAAAGTAAAAAAATACTTTTGAGTAAAATATGCAATATTTCTTGTATACATATAAGTATACATCCTCAACTGTTTCTCCTAGAGAGGGCTATGCTGGCTAGGAAACAAGTCTGAGTCAGAACTGTTTCCTGGACTGAGAAGTTGGAAAAAATCTTTACAGTACCTTCATGATTGACTGTAATTCAATACTGTGCGTGGGGGTGGGGAATCCTTTTTGCTGTCTAATATAGTGATACTTCTGTTAGAAACATCCTTTCTTCCATATGGTAAAGGAACCTATTGGTTTCATGTTTGCAGATTAGGCTTTATAGACACTTCCATGTCTGTTACTGAAACACCTTCTTGTGTGTGTGGGGAGGGACTGTATATCCCAAATGTCTCATGCCCTCACTGCTGAAGTAAAACTGTATTGCCTTTCTCTAACTACTTGGTGAAGATGGAAGGGCAGTCTTAAATCTGGTGAATTTGAGAGCAACATGCACACTGGGAAACCTAACTGATCTGATCTTTCTGTCCAGCTGGAGAAAGTGGCTGGCTTCTTAAGTCAACTTCTGTGAGACTTTCAATGAAACTGTAACCTTGTTGTAAATCCAGTTAAATACTAAGAATCTGCACCTATCTGCTCAGGGTGCAGCAGTGGAGGTGAAGCAGCATGTAACAGAATAGCAATATAGGCAGTACATCCGATCTACTGCTTTTGTCTTTTAAGCTGCAAAGCATAAAAAAAAGAGCAGCTTGGCCAGGAGCACAGAACAAACTATAAAGCAGTGACTGGAGCTGAAATCCCATTTCTGTTGGACTGGGTCACTTGTAGAGCAGCTGAGTAAGAGCTCAGCAGAGAGGCTCACTTTAGGGATCATTAGGAAGCAGTCTGTTCTGGCACTCTCCTGCAGTTACTTGAGCTGGAGAATTCTGGAAATGAACACTCAAACAGTTCTCTTAACACAAGTGTGTTTGGAAGATCATGTCTGTAACCCACACTTACTGGCAGACTTCACTGAAATTTTCATCAACCTTCAGATAGGGCACTCTAGACAGTTCTTAACTGTGCTTGGCTTTAATTCCACCTCTTGGATGGTGAGTTGAAGCACAGTGGCAGGGTGGGATAGCTTAGGAATGTCCTGTGTCAAATTTTTATGCCTTAAACCAGAAGTGATGTATGCTGACTACACCAGCTATTGATTTATGGCAGATCATGGTAAGGAAATGTTCATTGGTACAATTACAGCTGTACCCTAAATCCTGGCAAGAGGGAGCAGGATGGTTGGTGTACAAGTGAACTGTGGTGCTCCCATGCATGCTGCTTGTTACCTTGTGACCCAGTTCTGGAATCAGCTGGCTGCAGCTGTGGGAGTTCTGTTGTCTTTGTGCCCCTAAACAACTTGTGTGATGCTGATAAGCTGTCATGTGCTCCTCTGTTCTGTGGCCTGTGATTTGTGCTCAGTCTCCCCAAGTTCTGATTAGAGCTAGGAGAGCATAGGTTGTATCAGATGGTAAATTGTCTTGTAATGTCTTTTACAGGCCAAGGTGATGTGGTGAGGTGTTTTTACTGTGATGGAGGTATGAGGAACTGGGCATTTGGAGATGACCCTTGGAGGGAACATGCCAAATGGTATCCAAGGTAAATATCTTGGCTTACAAGTGTCCCTTGTAGCAAGACCAAAAGACACATGTTCCATTCAGTTACTCTTCTGTTTTGTAAGGCAGAAGTACTACCAGCTGAGTGTCACAGGTGTGCTGGTAATGGCTCATAAACTGATGGCACTGCTTGCTTCTAAGCTTAACCCTACTACCTTCTTACCCACTCTTAAGAGGTTCTGCACAAATACATTGAAATCTTTCTGCTTATAGGTGTGAATTTTTGTTGCGATCAATGGGGAGAGAATTTGTCAGCAGTGTTCAAGAGTCCTTTGCCAGCACTCCACCTCCAGTGAGTCATAAATATTTTGTGTGGAGTGAATGAGAGTTTGTTGGGAAGTTCTGAGCACATTTTTCTTGTGGCATTTTCAGAGAGATTCCAGGGATCAGATGGGACGAGGGTCCTCTGCTTACCAAGGTTAGTGCTGTTTTGTTTAAGTGTTGTATCTTTTTCTTCTACCCCACTCTTGCTTGTATGTTCAGAGTTGGTGCTTAATGTTCTGATATCTTAGAAGCAATTCTCCTTTATTCTTGGGAAATGGTCTCTAGCAGAAGTAATTGTTCTTGTAAGGCCTCCTAGCCTGTTTAAAACCAATTGTATTTAGCTAGTCTGGATAATTACTTGTTTGTCCCATCTTACTTCTACTTGTCAGTTCTGTGATGTTTGTCTGAATCTTTTAGACTACAGCATTTTAAGCAGGCCAGAGAACAGCTAGAAGGTCCCTGCTGTTTATGAAAGCATTAGCCTTGGGGATCTATCCTCATCTGCTACTGGAAACTTAAGTAGGTTAACCTTAGCTCCTGTAACTGTGGAAAAGTGATTTTTCTCATTCTCTTGAAGATCCTGTCTGATAGGTGAGCTTAAATCTTTAAGCCTTTGAATGAACTGCCGGCAGAGTTTTGCATTTCAGTATTTACTGATGAATGTTTCAGCTAGACTGAGGCAGGAGAGGTGTAAATTGAGAGATTCTACTTGATCTTCATCAAAACAGTTCTGACATTTTGGCTGTTGGACTGGAGCAAAAAAAAAAAAAAAAAAAAAGGAGGATTTAATCACTGATGCTGGAAAATGAAACACCTGAAGTTACTCTCCTGATTCTTATGAAATTGCTTTTGTCTTGGCTCTTCTGAGTTATTGGAAGTGGAAACTGTCTATCTTGATGTTACTTATCTATATAGATAACCTGAATCTTTGGAAATAATGCCACTTTATATGTAATGGTTTCAGAGAGTAGCATACTTTTTTTGTGAAGAGTCTGTTTGCTACTTTACAGATCTTTTAAGGAACTGGAAGTTGCAGACTCTTCCTTCTCTGGATCAGTTTTCTGTAGCACAGAATGTCCTGGAGATGGGCTTCAACCCTGTCTGGGTTGCTAGCCTGGTAGAGAATAAATACATACTGACTGGGACTTTCTACCTTTCTGAGTCTGAACTGATTTCTGATCTGCTTCGGCCAGAATGGGAAGAGAGCAGCAGTGCAAAGGAAAACAGAGGTATGCCTGACTGATTTGCCCACCCACATTCTTGGTGGATGTTCAACCTCTTACTCACTTTATCTTGAGCACTGTTATGAATGTCTTGTGGGTCTGCTTTCTCTCTTCCTAGACTGGAATTGAGAGTAGATACATACCAAAGGCTGCCTTCCTTTGAGAGGCTGAAGAGTGAGGTACTTTTAAAGAAACCTGAAGAGTCTGTTATTACTGGAGTAACTGATACAGATACAGGAAATGTCTCCAGTAGGTTGTGGTGTAGACATCTTTGATGTTTACTGCAGCCTTTAACTGCAGTAGCAGGTGTGCATTATGTGGGGCTTATGCACAGATTGCCATCCTTGGGTGCAGCTGACTAAGGCAGTTGCCTGAAGCAAGGCTTTTTGGGCAGGTACATTTAAGGTCTATTTAAGATTGCATCAGTGACTTCATTAGAAATAGCTGCACTTTGGCTTGGGTAATACATACTCTACTCGGTTTATCTATGTCTATTTTGTGGTGTCTGTTGTATGGAGTCTGATAAGTGAAGTTTATTTGAAAATGTCTCCTGCTAGCCTTTATTTAGTAGCAAGCCTGCTTTCTAAAGCTACTGTCTCCATATTGGTCTGCTACATTTGTCCAGACAAAAATTAAATGACTTCCACAAGACTGAGAGTGATTAAACAGTAGCAAAGGAACAGGAACAAGCAGCTGATGACTCTTGTCTGATGGAACTGTAGAATCATCACAGAATGGCCTGGGTTGAAAAGGACCACAGTGCTCATCTCATTTCAGCCCCCTGCTATGTGCAGGGTCACCAACCGCAGACCAGGCTGCCCAGAGCCACATCCAGCCTAGCCTTGAGCCCCTCCAGGGATGGGGCATCCATAGACTCCTTGGGCAACCTTTTCCAGTGCCTCACCACCCTCTGAGGGGAGGGTGGAGGGGAAGCTTTGAGAAGATGATAGGCATAGGCACGTGTTAACCTCCTTATGAGGACATACTGACATAAGCACCAGGGAGCATCAGCTTGACCAGGCTGAGTGTGTAAGGTTGACAATTCTGTAAAGACTGCTTGACTGAAATAAGGATATTTCAGCTCTTTAAGCAGCATTGTCTGAAGAGGGTGGGAAGGAATATGTTTAATGCCTTCTTTCCTGGTTAAACAGATGCGGTTCAGAGAGAGACTGAAACATCAAGTTCAAGAGGAGAAATGCAACCTGTGCAGCAAAAAGGTGCACTTGGGTGACTGGTGGGGGAATTATGTGCAGGCATAATGAGGACAGCTTTTGTAGTAACAGTATCGTGATGGTTGTATTTCTCCTTAGTCTTGAAAAGGAGCGTGCAGTAGCCTGGACTGTGGCAGGATGTAGAGACCTTACTCAGGATTTAGATCTCCTTTGTGATGCAGACTTATCTTAAAACAGTTTGGGTTTTCTTTAATCAGGGGTATATATTGAAGTACAGTGATACTGATACACCCTGCTCAGTGTGCAATGTGCAGGTGTACCAAGTCTTAAGTAGATAAGCTGGAGTTCATAACAGCTGTAGCTAATAATGCTTAAGTGAAATCTGCTTGAGAAAAGTACTTCTGCTGTCATTCTGGAAAAAATGAGCAGTTGCTCTGACTTTTTTAATGTAATGATCTGCTCTCTAGAGCTGTTGCAGCATTAACACTATGGGTTTTCTTTTTTCTTTTGTGAAGAGGAGTCTCCATTGAGCACAGAAGAACAGCTCCGACGCTTGCAAGAAGAAAGGATGTGCAAAGTGTGCATGGACAGGGATGTGTCTGTTGTATTCGTTCCCTGTGGCCATCTGGTAGCTTGTGGAGAATGTGCCCTCAACTTGAGATTGTGTCCTATCTGCAGAGCAGTCATCCGAGGAAGTGTGAGGACTTTCATGTCCTGAACCACAGTGTGCAAAAAGGAAAAATAAGTGTCTAAAATACACTCCTATGCCAGCAGAGAAAGAAACAATTTGTTACAATTTTGTCTTGTTTTAGGCCAAGCTATCCTGCAAACTCTTTTCTTGCAGTGCTTCCAGTAAGAGCTGATGATTTGCTCTGATCTTGCTGTAGGACTGTTCCAGAAAAACTATGCCAGTTTTTTTCCTTCAAAATGAGGTTTTTGCTGAAGGTAATCCTCCAAATACTTGTTCTCAAACAAATCCCTTTTCTGCACTGAAATCAAGAGCTGTTTTCAGCTGTCTGTCTGGTTCTCTTCATTTAGTAGTTTAGAGAATATCCTGCTAGGGCTGATGGATTCCTTCAGAAGTGTGGGTAAAGTTAGAGTATTTTTATACCAAATGCATTCAGTTGTAGCTAGGATACTCAGTAGGAATGTATTGAGGGGGGAAGTAGAAAGGAGAATCTAGCTCTTCTGAGGTTGAATTTTTTTTTTTTTTTCTGTTGAATTTTCAACAGTTGGAGAAACTACTTTTAACAGTACTCAAATCTACTTAACTCTGCTCTGTTTCTCCAGCCTCTTTGCTCTCAGCTCATTATCCTTCTAGGCAGATGTTGAGAGACTCTGGAGCTCTCGGTCACAGGATCTGAAACTTTCTTTTGAGGCCTCTTCACTGGCTGTTAAGGACTAGTCTTTTGCTAAGAGAATTTTTTTCAAAGGAAACTCTTTTTAGGGCTTCTGTTTGCTGGCTAAACCAGTTTTTAATTTAAATATAATACTCTATCATGTAGTAACAGACTTGTAAGCATGCTAACTGCAGGGAAGGTGTTTTTAAATTCTTCTGTTCAACTGAATAAAAGGCTTGTCTTATGAAGGTCTGAGTATCTGATTCCAGTATAATGTCCTACTGGTGGGGGTGGGATCCTGGAATATTAGAGGGGAGCCAGGCATAGATATGATTGTGAAGGATGGAAACTCGTAAGTGGGAGAAGCAGATTCTTACCGTCCATTAATTTCCTTTGAAATACAGAAGACAGTGTGGGATCTCCAGATTCCTGGCTGCAAGGCAAGGGAGGATAAGGACCAGATATGTGAAGTTGTGTAGGTGAGAATAATTCCTCATCTGAAATTGATGGGGGACTTTAGTACCTGTCTCTTAAATAGCATCTATGGAGACTGGAGCACAGGCTCTAACTCTGGATACTAAACAGGACTGAAGTCTCATCCCTAGGCCATGTGAGAGGGAAGTATTCTTCATCTTTCTTTTCAGGAGAAGGTAATTCTAATGCAGCTCATGGCAAAGATGAAACCACCAGCTGAGCAGGGTAAACTCTCAAACTCTGAGGGTTGGTGGATCTTTGGTATCTGGCAGCTCTTGTAGGGAAGAGTTGTATCACCGTGCTAAACTAAGTGTTGTGGCAGGGTTCAAGCTATCATTGGCTTTATTTTGCCACTATAAATAACAGCAAAAGCTGCCTGCATTTAAAGTGGATGTGCTAATCTGTGAAGGGGGGAGTGAAAAGTAGCTCAGTGTTGGAGTAGTGCTATTTCCTCTTAAACATCAGCTCAGAGCCTGGAATGTAGCCTAACATCAAAAGGACTACAGGGTGTGAAATTGCCCAGCTATTTCTGGGATTCTCTTGTAGGTTTTTAAGTGTTTCTATGGGAAAAAATGTCCCTTCAGGAGCAGGTACAAGTTGGGCTTTTTTTTTTCTTTTGCTGGTTGAAGTCCAAGTGCTACCTATCCCCAATAGAGGGCACTCCTAGCCTCTGCTAAAGGAACCCCCTTGTGAAAAAAAAAAAAAACTGTTGCTCCTTCATCTCGTGGCATGCTGGAGATGCAGGCATCTACAAGTCGCTGCCCTAGCAGATTATGGGGTTATTGTGTAGTCTTGCAGTAGTTAGGGTAAGTCTACTGCAAGCAGACCAGTAGGAGAGTTTTGTCAGAGTACAAAGGATAAATGTTTCTGCTAACAAAAACTAGAGGAGGTACAAAGAAAAGTGCATCATTGTATCTTTGACTTTTAGCACTTAATGTTTTTATTTATTTTTTTTTTAATCACTTCCTTGCACTTTGCTTCCCTAGCTTGGCTTCTGGCTTGGCTCTTTTGTAAAGCATTATTCAAGAATCCCAAATGGTTTTAGGCTAGACAACACAAAGAATTACAACAGCTTGTGGAATGCTTCAGCCAAAGAAAGCCATGGATGGCAGACAAGCACTCTTTCCCCTGCTTGAGGCTTAACATCCTGGAAGATGTAACTAACAAAAGGGATGCTGTTTTTTTTTTCTTTTTAATTATTTGCTGCAGCTTATTAATGCAACTTAATTACAGTTCTATTGCCCCTTTCTTCCTCCCCACTCCCTCCCCTCAAAATTATCCTGTCATTAAAAATACCTTCCAGCAGGAAGCTGTTGGGCCTGTGCCTGGAGTAAGTGTGGCTGCTTGGCAAAGAAAGCAGATACAAAAACATGATCCACGAGGAACTAGGCATTTACCAGTGTCCTGCAGCAGGTATCAGTTGTGCACGTGGCTATACCAGTAACTTAATATGGGTAGACAAACCCAGAGTAGGCTCTAGCTGCTGTAAGTTTGGCATGTTGCAATGGGTTTAAGTTCATACCAAGTACAGATTTGGCAATTGTACTAGTTCATTTTTTTTTTTTTTAGCTGTTCAGCATTTATAGTAGTTAAATCACAACGTTAGAATCCAAGCCAAATTCCTTACTACTAAGGAGTAGAGAATGAGGGAGTCTTGGATAAAAGGGAGAAAGGGCAGATCTCTCATCTACAACATTAAAAAAAAAAAAAAAAAAAGGTGGGGTGTGTAAGAGAGCCTAAACTCAAATAGCCCTTGCCTAGTTTTATACAGGCAGGGAAAAGCTGAAGTTGTATTAAGGGGATTTAGGCTCTTTCCAGACTGAGGAAAGGAGAGAGGGAAGAAACTAACTACAAAACATGAGATGTCCCAGGGTGTTGCAGTGTTTCCTTCTCTGTGGATCCATGGTGGAAGGAAGCAGCTCCGACTTGTCCTGCATCTCTTGAGACAGGCTCCTGGTGAACTTCTGCCTGAGGATTTCCAGTCTGTGCCATTTGGCTAGAACCACCCACTGTGGTAGGAATGGTTCATCAGGGCACTTGTAGAGTTAAGAACAGACTGTGTGGTCATTCTTCAATGTACATTCATTTCATTTGAAAAGAAGACAAGGAACAAAAAGTGGAATGGAGTTCACCATCCTGCATTTCCTCTGCCATAGACCCAGGCCACAGGGGATTATTTCCTGCAGCACCTTTGGTGGAGTGCAAGATTTATCCATCCTCTGGCTCCTCCTCATTTACGCAGGCCTGTACAGGAGAAAAAGTGAAGGCAGGATATTAATGCAGAACAAAACATTTTTATTACTTAAGGTAACAAACTGGAAATAATAAGGACAAAATTGTTTTTTCTGTTCCAAGCTTGTAAATATGGGTGACTACAGATGAAGAGTAGGATTGAGGAATCAGATACAGTGTGGTTAAGTCATCTTCAAATCTGGGAAGAATATTATGCATATACCAGACTCGAATATACTGCGGTTAGAATAGGGAATAGATGTGAGCCAAAGTGTTAGATCCATGGATTGTGAGCCTTGGAGATGCATAAAACTTGGTTAGGAATTTTAAAAGCTAGGGATCATCTCTGGAATAAAGTAGCTCTGTAAAAAAGCATATCACTGCAGTTTCAGTGCAGAAGCATAAGCATATCTACTTCTGTAGCCAGCAGTAAAGATGAGAATGTTTTCAGCTGAATCATCACCTCTTTAAACATGCAGCTTCAGGTTGATAGTCAGCAATTTTTATTTTATTTTTTGTTTGGGAGGGAAGTCTACCTAGAAAGAAAAGCAGAACCATTTGTGTATGCGGAGCTTTCCTTTGGTTTTGCCAAAGTGGGCTCTTTTTTCCTGTTCCAGTAAAGGTTTCCTTTGTAAAGCATTCTGATCATCAAAACAGTTAGGACTTCATTGTTTTTGTTTCCTCCAAAGGTCGTTTTAGTTTTTTCATGTTCCCTCCCCCATTGTTTCATACCTGTCTGCTGTACTGAAGAACCTACTTTCAACCTGCTCTGTTACCTGCAGTCTACTCCTGTAACTCTGCATACCCACAGCTGTTTCGTGCCTATGGCTAGCAGACTGACTGCACCATAAAGAATTGATTAGGAGTTATCAAAGTGAGCAGTTAACAACAGAGCCTGTAATCATGCAATCAACCAGTGCCTCCTGTTGCTATCCTATCAATACTGAAGTCAGCATCTGATAAAAGTCACACCCTTTGTTACCCTATGGCCTTTCAGAGAGGTGGATGTGAGGGAAGCAGGGTTAGTGAAATCAAGCTATGTAACTAAAATCAAATTAAAGCTGTAAGTTACTAATGTGATGCAGTACTCAGACTGCCAGCTTCCATTTATGCTATGGGCAGGAGCCCGTAAACTGTGTTTTGTTGCTGATCCTGGCAGTGTGGCATTCAAAGGTGGGGAGGTGTGTTGCCCTTCTCTATATCTTTAAAATGAATAGAGGTTATTTCCTGACATCTAGTGAGTTCTTGATTTTTATTTATTTATTTATTTATTTATTTTGCATTGAATAACGTCCAAAACTATGCTACAAGACTTCTGCTTTATAACTGAGCTTACATAGCATCTTACATAGCATTGATGATTGAAACAAATTGAGATGTCAGAAGAATGGCTACAGCCTGCAGGAAGTGCTGGTTATCAGGATGCTCTGAACCTCCTGCTGTCTTGGCAAGAATTACAGATTACTTGAAGATAACAGCTTTAGAAAGAAACTGCAAGGCTATGTTTGTTGACCCTTCTGCAGTTACAGAATGCTTTTCCTTGCTTCAAATGATAATTCTGTTACTGCAAAGACAAAATAAGAAAAGCAGTCCTGCACTGATGTCCTCTCCTATGAATCCTAGGAGAAGACAGTGGTGGAAAAAAGCACAGCCTGAGTTTGAACTTTAACTA